GTTGTCTGTCATAGCTGCACATCCTTCTAGTTGCTGTATGTGGGACGCGGCCTCAGCATGGCTGGAGGAGTGGTGCCTCGGTGCGCACCCGGGATCCGAACCCGGGCTGCCGGCAGCGGAGCGCACGCACTTAACCGCTAAGCCACGGGGCCGGCCCAGCCCTGAACTTCTTAAAAGAATTAAATTGTCAGTTTAGTTTTTTTTTTTTTTTTAATTTATTTATTTTTCCCCCAAAGCCCCAGTAGATAGTTGTATGTCATAGCTGCTCATCCTTCTAGTTGCTGTATGTGGGACGAGGCCTCGGCATGGCCGGAGAAGCAGTGCGTCGGTGCGCGCCCGGGATCCGAACCAGGGCCGCCAGTAGCGGAGCACATGCACTTAACCGCTAAGCCACGGGGCCAGCCCTGACAGTTTAGTTTTAATGTTAAATGTAATTTGTTATACTCTAGTTCTCTGAAAATCAGTAATTCTTGTGTAATTGGATAACTTAGGTAAAAAAATGTTAGAACAGCCTATTCCTAACAATTTTATATAAACAGTTTTCTATAAAACAAATCACATTTTTCTATCCACAGTGTAAAACTCTTATTCAATAAATTCAGAATATCTCTGTGTGACTGAAGTGGCTCATTTACTCAACAAACATTTGTTAAGAACCTATGCCAGATCTTGTGGGAAGAAAATGAAGACAGGGTTCCTACTCTGAGAAGCTTACAACCTAGATGAGAACAGAAGATATGTGAGCATGACATACTAATGACTTTAAATATGCTTGATAATATAAAATAATATAATATAAAATGACATCCCTCAGCATTGGATGATACATGTGGGGAATGCGGCTAAATACACCTTCTTAGAAAGGGTGAATAAAGATTATAGAAATCAGAAAAGCAACATACCTAATTTAGTCATCTTTTCAGAGTGTTTTCTATTCTGAAAAGAATAAACTTTATTCCCACCATCTGTAGCAGAGCCATTTTTCAAGGATTCTGAAAGAGAAAATGCAACATGTATTTAGGATAAATGGGCAAAGTTAATTAACAAGAAAAAAAATTTTACCTAAGAACTTAAGATTTGTTCCCCTCACTGTCTTGCATAAAGGTTTAACAACATGTATGTATATATAAAATATTTTAAAACATACAACAGGCTATGATACTGTTTATATAAATTTTAAAACACTGAAAACATTATTATTCACAAATACACGAAAATATACATAAAAATACACACACAAAAAAAAGGCCACTAGGGCCGGCCCTGTGGCTTAGCGGTTAAGTGCGCGCGCTCCACTGCCGGCGGCCCGGGGTTCGGATCCCGGGCGCGCACCGATGCACCGATTCTCCGGCCATGCTGAGGCCGCGTCCCACACACACCAACTAGAAGGATGTGCAACTATGACATACAACTATCTACTGGGGCTTTGGGGGGGAAAAAAATAAATAAATAAAATTAAAAAAAAAAAAACAAAACAAAAAACAACACTAAAAATACCTCTCCAGACTAGAGGGACATGTACTCAATTCACGAGGGTAGGTGCCCCTGAGGAGGGTGGACAGAAGGGACTTGATTAGTTGTTTCCTTCTTGAAGCAAAAGTGCAAAGTACCATTGTTAACTGAGGTTGAGATTTAAACATTGTTACATGGCAGAAGCTCTCTTACTCTCAATTAAGACCTTGACTTAATTTCATTCTTCAGACTTCCCTTTAGATAACAACTGCTACATACCACATACTGGACACTCATGGCTAGAAGCCTACTCTCTAGCACGGCAATTCTCAAAGTGTGGTCTGGGGTTTCTGAGGTCCCTGAGGCCAAAACTATTCCATAATAACACCAAGACATTGTTTGACTTTCTGACTCTCAAACACCAGTGTATAGCAAGGTATTCCAGAGACTATACGATGTGTGATGACGTCACCACCCTCTCGGCTAATGGAATGTGTAAAGCAGATATGAAAATCCAGCTGTCCTCTATTAAGCCAGAGATTTGCAAAAATATAGAACAATGCCCTCTTCACTAAGTTTTTTTGGAAACAACTGTTTTTCATTTAAATTATGTATAATTTACATTAACATGTAATGGGTTTATTATTGTTATTACAAACAGTGCCAAACTTTTCCAAAGTCCATGTTCACTCTCCTTATTTAAGACTTCCCGTTGATCTGTATATGGAATAACACTTGGTATTATCCAAACTCCTTAATCTTTGCCAATGTAGTGGGTATAAAATGAATCTCATGGGGAGACATGTTTTAATTTGTCCTTCCCTAATCACTAATGATGTTGAACATCTTTTCACATGTTTCATATTTCCAGAAGAAGAAATACCTTCCCTATCCTGTGACTTTTCTTTTCACTTCTTTATGGTGTCATTTGATGAAGAGAAGTACTGAACTTAATAGACTTTATATTTTAGAGCAGTTTTAGGTTCACAGCCAACTTGAGCGGAAGGTACAGAGATTTCCCATATACCTCCTGCTCCCACATACGCACAACCTCCCCCACTATCAACATCCCACACCAGAATGGTATATTTGTTACAAGTGATGAACCTACACTGACACATCATTATCACCCAAAGTCCACAGCTTATATTGGGGTTCACTCTTGGTGTTGTACATTCTACAAGTTTTGACAAAAGTATGATGACATGTATCCACCATTATAGTATCATACAGAATAGTTTCACTGCCCTATAAATCCTGTGTGTGCCATCTATTCATCCCTCCCTTCTCCTGACCCTTAGCAACCACTGATTTTTTTACTGTCTCCATAGTTTTGCCTTTTCCGGAATGTTAGGATTATACAGGATGTAGCCTTTTCAGATGGCTTCTTGCACTTAGTAATATGCATTTAAGGCTCCTCCAAGTCTTTTCACGGCTTGATAGCTTATTATTATTATTTTTTAGCACTGAATAATAGTGTGTTGTCTGGGTATATCACAGTTTATTTATGCATGTTTGACTTCTTGGTTGCTTCCAAGCCTTGGCAATTATTAACAAAGCTGCTGTAAACATCTGTGTGCAGGCTTTTGGGTGGACATAAGTTTTCAACTCATTTGAGTAAATACGAAGAGCACAATTGCTAGGTCATATGGTAAGAATATGTTTAGTTTGTAAGAAACTGCCAAACTGTCTTCCAAAGAACTATACCACTTTGCATTTCCACAGCAATAAATGAGACTTACTGTTGCTCCACATCTTTGCCAGCATTTGGTGTTGTCAATGTTTTGGATTTTAGCCATTCTTTTTTTGTGTGTGTGTGTAGATCAGCCCTGAGCTAACATCCATGCCAATCCTCCTCTTTTTGCTGAGGAAGATTGGCCCTGAGCTAACATCCATGCCAATGTTCCTCCACTTTATGTGGGATGCCGCCACAGCATGGCCTGACAAGCGGTGCGTTGGTGCGCGCCCGGGATCTGAACCCAGGCCGCCAGCAGCGGAGCGAGAGCACTTAACTGCTACGCCATGGGGCCGGCCCCTTGGCCATTCTAATAGGTGTGTAGTGGTATCTCATTGTTGTTTTAATTTGCAATTCCCTAATAACATATAATGTTCAGCATCTTTTCATATGCATATTTGCCATCTGTATATATCCTTTGGTGAGATGTACAGGTCCTCTGCCCATTTTTTAATTAACTGGGCTGTTTGTTTCCTTATTGTTGAGTTTTAAGAGTTCTTTGTATATTTTGAATAATAGTTCTTTAACGGGTATGTCTTTTGCAAATATTTTTCCTAGTCTGTGTTTGTCCTCTTGAGAAGCACTGAATTTTAATTAGTTGAATTTGTCAATCTTTTCTTTTGATTATACATTTTTAAAGAAATTCTGTATCAAGAGCAAAACCATATTCTCTTACATTTTCTTGTGTAAAAGCATTTAAAATTTGCTTTTCATATGTAAATCTTTAATTAAGGTAATTAAGTTGTTTATGATGGGAGTTAGGGATCCAATTTCAATTTTTCATAAGGATATTCAATTGTTCCAACACCAGTTCATCCTTAGCCTAGTGATCTGCAATGCTACCTCTATTATATATCTAGTTTCCACATATGCATGAGTCTGTTTATGGAGAACTTGTTACCGCAATTACATAATTTAATTAAATGTTTGGCACACAGGCAAAATATGAATTTAAAAATATCAAGTAGTTTCTATATAAACTGAATTAAATGCTTTAGAAAGACTTGATAAACTTTATTAATTAAAACAATTGGTTTCGGGGCCGGCCCGATGGCGCAAGTGGTTGAGTGCACGCACTCCGCTGCGGCGACCTGGGGTTCGCTGGTTTGGATCCCGGGCGCGTACCGACGCACTGCTTGGCAAGCCATGCTGTGGTGGCATCCCATGTAAAGTGGAAGAAGATGGGCACGTGTGTTAGCCCAGGGCCAGTCTTCCTCAGCAAAAAAAAGAGGAGGATTGGCAGATTTAGCACAGAGCTGATCTCCTCATAAAAAAAAAATAATAATAATAATAATAGTAAAAAAAATAATAAAACAACTGGTTTCAAATTAGGCAGATGAGAAACCATAAAAAATTTAAGAAAAAATTGGAAAAAACAAAAAAGCACCCTACACTCAGATTGCATCAAGTGTCTTTAAATGATCAATCTAATGGAAGGAAGTAAAGCCTGAAATCCTAGATGATGCATTATGGATATAGTCTAAAAAAACCTCAAAAACCCAAAGGTGGTGCTGTTCTTCAACCAGCTGATCTCTGGCAAACTTATATTCAAAGAAAAGACTCCGATATATATATATTTATATGTAAAACAAAATGTTTAGAGTATATAAATTATTTTTATGATTCCCTGGTTCTGATATTTTGATTGATTGACCAACTAACAGTGGTTCTAATCATACTGGCCAAGAGGGCTTTACTCTAATATATATATAAAACTTTTTAATAGTTTTCAAATTACTCAATATCAAAAAACTGTGAATATACAACTCACAGAAGAAATTAAAGTGGCTAATAAATATAATAAAAAATGTTTAATGCTGATGAGGGATCTTAATACTAGCTGATAAAACCCTCCTAGGAAGCAATTTGGTAATATGTATGTCTTATAAAGTTCATACACTTTCACCAGTAATTCCACTTTTAGGAGTCTCTTATGAAGAAATTAGAGATCTAAACAAAGATTTATATTCGAGGGTAATCACTACTGCATTAGTTATAATAATAAAAAGTTAGAAACAATTAAAAAGTCTAATAGAGAAACTATATATTACTTATAGATTAAAATGCAATATTTACTCAGTTATTAAAGTTCTTTTCGTTCAGAGAGTAATCTTTAAGAATTTAACAATACATAAAATTTAAAAAGAAATAACACTACAACTTCACACCCCCTTGATGGCCATTATCAAAAACAACAGAAAACAAGTGCTAATGAGGATGCGGAGAAATTGGAACCCTTGTGCACTGTTGGTGGAAATGTAAATTGGTGTAGCTGCTGTGGAAAATAGTATGAAGATTCCTCAAAAAATTAAAAATAGAATTACCTATGATCCAGCAATTCCACTCTGGGAATATACACAAAAGAACTCAAATTGGGGTCTCAAAAAGGTATTTGTACACCCATGTTCATAGCAGCATTATTCACAATAGCCAAAAGGTCAAAGCAGCCCAAAGTCCACTGCCAGATGAATGGATAAACAAAACATGGTATACTAGATACATACAACACAATATTATTCAGCCTCAAAAAGGAAGGAAATTCTGACACATGCTACAACATGGATGAACCTTGAGGACAAGCTAAGTGAAATAAGGCAGACAAAAAGACTAACAGTGTATGATTTCACCTACATGAGGTACCTAGAGTGGTCAAATTCAGAGAAAGAAAGTAAAATGGTGGTTGCCGGCGTTTGGGGGGAGGGGAGACTGGGGAGTTGTTTAATCGGGTATAGAACTTCAGTTTTGTAAGACGAAAACAGTTCTGGAGATTGGTTGCAAAACAATGTGAATGTCCTTAACACTGAACTATACACTTAAAAATAGTTAAGATGGTAAATTTTGTATGTACAATTTACCAGTATTTTTAAAAATAGATTTAATTATTTAACCACAATTAAAAATTTGATATGGTCCTTAAGTTCAAAAGTGGAACTATGAGTACTAAATTAAAAATACTAGAAGTGGACCACATATTTTTCTCAGAATTTTCTAGCAGCCAACTTTTAAAGAATCAATTATAGAATCAAACCGTTCATAAGATTAAAAAAAAAAAAAAACTGTTCAAGAGAAGCATCAATATGACAAATTGCTCTGGAGGACATCTATCTAATTATTTTGGGAGATCTTTGGGAATCTCTTCTATTTAATGCCTCAGATCTCCTAGCACCTCCATGCAATGAGTTTTCTCCAGACTAGATGGATTAATAGACTACGAGAACTATGCCAGGTATGTCAAGATGTGTATTGCTAGTAAGAAGCAGCTTACACTTCAACAGTACGTAAAGAGATTAATAAAGTACTTAAAGATCCTTGTTGAAAAGTTATTTTTCTTTTTTAACTATTCCTAAAGATTCTTTGTCAAATGTCCCTCTGTTGTAAAAATAAAGCTTGTGTTCTGTTTATAATAAAAGATTAGCCAGAAGCTTATTGTCCAGTATCTCAAACAAGGTTAAAGAAGACTGTGACAGATGTCACCATTTCTTCCCTGAAGAAAACATTAAAAGCAAACTCTCCTTCCTATACCTTGTCTGGAACACTCTCCACTCCTATACACATTTTGGCAGACAAGAAAAAACAAACCAAAACAGGAAGAGTCCTGTTTGCAAGACTTAACAGTAAGTTATGGGTTCCTCTGTTGTACATGCCCACGGTCAAATGAACAGCTCCTTTCCTGGACTCAAAGACTGCTGACACAAGGTCACGTGTGTGCATGCACGTACAGACAGACAGCAGATCCACACCAAACTGTTACCAGTTCCATGTTCTCTAAAGCACACATTCTCAACAGGAACAATATTGTTCCTAATGGATGAAAATGGCTCTTAGTGGGAGGAGGGGGAGTGTGAACAACATCTTAGACATTATAAGACATTACATTATTACCCTCCAAGGGGTTATAGTGCATAAACAGATAAACAGTATATATGTAGTACTAAAATTTCATGGATGGAGGTGATTAGGAGAAAATGCCTAAAATGGCTCCTTAGGGGATAACAATGAAAAAAAAGTTGAGAAACACTGCTCTAAGGCAAAGTTTCCCAACAAGTGTGCAGAAATTAAAGGTAGGGGTTACAGGTGTGCTGAGTATTGATCCTCTCCACCTTTGAGAAAGCCAGTCAGGGCCTGCAGAGGGGGTGGGAATAAGGCTCAGAAGCCCTAGGGCATTCGTCCCTGGTCTGGAGTATTCTTCCTTTATTCCAGTGTGCCTCCAAATATCATTTGCTGTGGGTGCTAATACATGAAAAACGTTGGAAGCACTGAGTTTCTACTACAAGTATGTATTACTTTTACAATAAGAAATGATTTTGGGGCCGGCCCTGTGGCTTGGTGGTTAAGTGCGCGCGCTGCAATGCTGGTGGCCTGGGTTCGGATCCCGGGTGCGCATCGAGGCACCGCTTCTCCGTCCATCCTGAGGCCGAGTCCCACATGCAGCAACTAGAAGGATGTGCAGCTATGACATACAACTATCTACTGGGGCTTTGGGGGGAAAAAAAAAAAAAAAAAAAATCTTTAAAAAAAAAAAAAAAAAAAAGAAATGATTTTGAAGAAAACATTTTTTTAAAAATATTGTTTTCAATCTCTTTACTTAGGCGTAGCATAATAGGTACTCAAAAATCCAAAGTTCTATTCAGAATATGCCCTAGAATTGTCAACTGTCTAGTTGGGGACACTTTTAAGAGAATCCACCCTGCCCACTAAGTCTATTAAGGGACAACAGCCATTTTTTGGTATCATGTCATTTAACCCTGGGAACTAAACCAGACACATTGTGACTCAAGAAATGATAAGAAGATCAGAAGTAGTCACGATGGCCATTTATAAGCCAAGTATGAGAGAGTAAGAAACACATACATGAGGGAGATAAGAAGCACAGAGAGAACAGACCGGATGCACAGAGATGACATGAGGGAGACTAGGAGATCCATGAGAGCAAAGTCGCTCAGTTTTAATGTGGTCCCAGTTCCAATGCCCCCAGTACCCAACAATACTGATTTCGTTCCTTGGTCTTTATTTTTTTAAGTCAACTTGAGCAGACCTGTGCTCTTTGTACCCTAATCTAAATCTGTGCTCTTTGAGCCCTATAGTATAATATAATTCAAGCCTAAAAAATTTTATGTATCACCTGGCAGGAATCTGGCTTAGGTGTAAAAAAACACAACACTAGCATGGCTAGGTTGGAATGACATTACTTCTTGAAATGCTCCAACTATTTCTGTAAAGAAGATCAAGGTAATAATGAAGTGACTTGCTTTATGAAATTATTTCAAATTAGTTAAAAATATAAATATCTTAAAAAATAACTTCAGAGTGGTTGGTTTGTAGAATTTGTCTTTCTAAAAATAATTAAATGCAGGACTGGTTGTTTGTAAAATAAAGAACTGCAGAGAAAAAAACCTGTAGTAGAAACTCAGTGCTTCCAACCTTTCCAACTACAGAGAAAAAACTTATAGCAATGCTACTCTGATGAGAAATAATATAGCACATCAGAAGAAAAGAGTTCTGGAGATGGATGGTGGTGATGGCAGCACAACATTATGAATGTATTTAATACAATTAAACTGTATACCTAAAAATGGGAAAGATGGTAAATTTTATGTTATGTGTATTTTACAATTAAAAAATTGGAGAAAAAAAAAATATAGCACACCATTGCTTAACCTACCAAACTATTTTATGCATTCTGCAAAGTGATTCTGCCCGCTAGCAAAAATATGAGTTTACATTTCCCCCCCAAATACCTTGAACATCTCGTCCTAAAACTTCCACATAGTTCTGATCTTTTAATACTTCCTGGTCATCTTCCTCCAAGTCATATTCCGGCTTCTTTATTATTTTCTTTGTGTTGACCAAAAGCTGAGCTCGCTCCTTTTTCAATTTAGCTCCTATATGAACATCCAAAGAATTAGAACTTGACAGAATCAGAACATTATAAATTCTATAAAAAGAATTTATAGGGCCGGCCCCGTGGCTTAGCGGTTAAGTGCGTGTGCTCTGCTGCCGGTGGCCCGGGTTCGGATCCCGGGTGCGCACTGATGCACCGCTCCTCCGGCCATGCTGAGGCCGTGTCCCACATACAGCAACTAGAAGGATGTGCAGCTATGACAGACAACTATCTACTGGGGCTTTGGGGGAAAAATAAATAAA